GAACGTTGGAATCTGCAGCAAGCAAGCCTCCCTGCTCGCTTCAGTGCCTGGCTGCCGGCCGCCATCTTGGCTGACAGTTAATTTGCATATACTCACTGATTAGCCAATGAAAAGGGTAGCGGTCGTACGCCAATTACCATGTTTCTCTTTTATTAGTGTAGATGACAGTAATATATCAACAATAAATTTTCTAAATGTGGTAACTGAACTGTGGTTATGGAAAAGAATGTCCTTGTATTTGGGAAAGGCATACTGAAGAATCTACACTAATAAAAGAGAAAGATGCAAAATGACCATACCTTCACGATGCCCACCAGCCAATTAGAAGTATGCAAATTAACCCAACAAAGCTGGCGGGTTAATTTGCATATGCAGAGTGGCCGGGGGCGGGACGGGACGCAGGCATTCTGCACTGCCCCAGCCGCTCCGGGCCTCTGGGCAGCGTGGGAAGGCGGAAAGGTGGCTCCAGCCAGAGCGAAGGCAGTACTGGCAGCCAGGGGAAGGAAGGCCCATTCTTGCACAAATCTTCGTGCATCGGGCCTCTAGTTTAAGGATAAAGGGCCATGATGTCAGTACTTATCTCAAACAGCTCAGTTAAAAATAAATAAATAAAAGAAAACAGTAAGGAAATATAGTCAATAATATTGTAATAAGTATGTATGATGCCAGGTGGGTATTGGAAATATCCGAGGGTATACTTAGTCAAATATGATTATCTACCCACTATGCAATACAAATGAAACTAATATGATCCTGAATGTAAACTGTAATTGAAAAATACCATTTAAATTTTAAAAATAAATAAAAAGGAAATGTTTTTAGCAGCATTATTCATAATGGACAAGAAGTGTACACAACCCAGTGTCCATCAACTGATGAACAGAAAAATAAAATGTGGGATATTATTCAGCCATAAAAAGAAAAATGGAGTGCTGATATATGTGACCACATGGATGAACAATGCAAATATGATTAGTGAAGAAGCCAGATACAAAAGAGCACACAATGTATGATTACTTTGATAGAAAATGTCCAGGATTGGCAAATCCATAGAGACAGAAGGTAGATTAGTGGTTGCCAAATAGGAAAAGTGAAAATGGGAGTTACAGCTTAATGGATTCAGGGTTTCTTTTGTGTTTGATGAGAATGTTCTAGAATTGTAGCGTGGCAGTGGTTGCACCACTTTGTACTGTATAAAAACTATGGAGTTGTACAGTTTTTTGTTTATTTGTTTTTTAAGACTCGCCAGAGGATATTATTTTCCATTGAATTTTAGAGAGAGTAGAAGGGAGTGGGAGAGACAGAGAGAGAAAAACATCGATGTGAGAGAGATACATTGATTGGCTGCCTTCCCCCCCCCCCCCCCCCCCCCCCCGACTGGGGCTGAGGATTGAGCCTGCAACTGAGGTATGTGCCCTTGATTGGAATAAAACCCACGACCTTTCAGTCTGTGGGCCAATGCTCTAACCACTATGCAACCGGCTAGGGCTGGAATCATACACTTTTAAGGGTGAATTTTATAATATGTGAATTATATCTCAAATGCACGCACACAAATACACACACACACACAGACACACACATACACTGGATCAGAGATCAAAATGGAAAAAGTAAAACTATTAACTTAAAAGAATTTGGAAAAATTTTTGCAGCATTGGTGTAGGCAAAGATTTCTCAGAAACAAAGAAGTGCAAACCATGTGGTAGGAAGAATCCTAAGTTGGCCCCCAAGTTTCCCTCTTCCTAGTGCACATACCCTAGTGCCGTGGTCGGCAAACTGCAGCTCTCGAGCCACATGCGGCTTTTTGGCCCCTTGAGTGTGGCTCTTCCTAAGCCTTAGGAGTACCCTAATTAAGTTAATAACAATGTACCTACCTATATAGTTTAAGTTTAAAAAATTTGGCTCTCAAAAGAAATTTCAATCATTGTACTGTTGATATTTGGCTCTGTTGACTAATTTAGTTTGCCGACCACTGCCCTAGTGCATATAGCCCTTCTCCTTGAGTGTGAGTGAACCTGACCTACTCTGGTTAGCCCTTTTAAACAAGGGTTTAGAGATCAGAGATAAGAGAAGTCAGAGAGAGTCAAAGCTCCAGCAGACACTCTCCTGCTGTTCCTGGAGAAGCAAACTGGCATGCTGTGGAGAAGGCCATATGGCAGGGCATAGTGGGAAGCCTCTAAGAGCTGAGAACAGCCCCTACCTGATGACCAACAAGAAAACAGGAATCTATGTCCTAAAATCATAAGGAACTGGATTCA